TCATTTAATAGTGTACTCAAGGGTATCGTGCCATGCCCATCAATGCCATTGTATCATTCACCTTTTATAGGCTAGTTGCATGGTTTAACGATGAGACACGCTCAAGCAATGGTACTACAGAGTAATAATCGAGAAATGGGCACCTAAACCTAATAAGCATCTCAACAAGGCAAAGGAAAGGGTCATCACATGACATCGATTGCTTTGACCATAGCACCGGCAAGTACCAGAGTCACGAGAAAGGGGTGGTACAACGTCCGATGGTGAGGTCCGGCCATCAAGGAGTTATATTGTGGTACTTAGTAATTTCTCATGTCGATGTGGGAAAACCAGGCAGCACCACTTCCCTTGTTCTCATTATGTTGCGACATCTCAACGCCATAACTTTGCCCTATGAGACCAGATCAGGATACCGTCGGAGTTAGGTGTTGATGACCTTGTCTGGACTTGGTCTCCCCATTCGAGCCTTTCTAGAGCGAAGGTCGGTGTCCACCTTGCTGGCTGAAATACATTGCGGATCCAGTACATTGGGACAAACGTGGAACCGGAAGAGGGCGAGGCACAAGATGGTCATGGACCAGGTTTCGGTAGAACAAAGGCGAGGAGAGCAACCCCTTTCTTCATTGACCGAAAGCGAGAACCAATGTGGCAAATGTGGTAGACTTGGGCATAATTCATGTACATGCCATTGGCCGCTTAGTCAGGTGTAAATAACTAATGTTTCACATGCATATTTACTAGTACCAAAAAGTTATTTATTTGTTCATATAAAACTTATATGTACTTTGTCATTATATTTTGTAGGATGGAGCCGTTCCACTGCTTTGGAGCCGTACTATGAGGAGAACCACCGGGGCGACTCATCGTGGAGGGGAGGTAACGACTTTACTTACGCATGTTATTTTCCTCTACACATGTACTTGTGTTCACGAATTAATATTATAATTTCTATTCTTTGCAGGGAACTGAACCTCTTTGTCCTCGTTCCCACGATAAGTTCGAGGACATGCTGACGAATACAAGTACACTCCTCTCCTTGAGAGAAATTTGGACTTGACGTTGTATCATTCTAGGTTGATGGGGTGCCTCGCCTTCAACCCTTGGCGATCTCAGCTCTAGTTGAATGGTACCAAAATTATAAATGATTCACTTCCATTTTTTTTTCTGTTCTCGATGTGCATATAACCTTAGTACTTCTTTCTTATTTTGTAGATGGAGGTAGGAGGCCTTTGACTTCCACCTACCTGCGGAGAGATGGCCGTTACTCTTCAGACACCTTGAAGTTCACAGGTGTCCAGTATAAGTGCCGCCCAGATTATCGGGCCACCTGCCTCTCTTTGGTTGGAGAGGTAGAGTGGAGACCTTCCTTGGACGCGAGCTTCCTCCGAGAGACACCAGTGCCCGCTCCTCTGGAGTTCTCATTAGTTGGGAGGCGAGAACTTTGGTCGATGTCCGATCATGCGCAAGCGATGAGCCACCTACTACTGCGAGGCATGGATCATGAATCTTTTGGTTGTGTTGTGTTCCTCGGACTTGACCAGGAGACACAGCGTCATGGATGTACCTGCCTGTCTTCTTGGCCCGGGACACGGCGAGAGGGCTACGGTGGGGATTCCATGATCTTTGGGTACTTGTACTGAAAGAAAGTAACTTTCTGAGGCTTGCCACGGAGTTGATTGTGATGTTCGATGTGGTTGTATTGTGGTCTTTGGACGATTAAATATTTGGATTATCTAATGATGTCTCTGCTTGTAGCGTGGATGCTCCGAAATAAGGGAAACTTTTGCGAATTTTTTCCGTGAATCATTAATTATACTTCTTTGCTACAAAGGCCCAAATGTAGTACACAAATTAAATATAAATTGAAGAGAGAACGTGTATAGTTCAATTGTATCGTCTGAGATGCTTTTGTAGATGATTATAGGCTTTTCGATGTGATGCATGAATCTAGGCTTTTAGGACAATAGTACACCTATAGGTACGAAGGCATGCAAGGAAGCACAACTCCACTCCATCTCCACCATCCATCTTATTCTTGTTTGATCCAAATTTGAGGCGAAGAGGCACATGGATCGTGACATGGCACATTGAGAGGCCTCCATTCCTCGTCTCAACCTATAAATAACCCCTCACTCCCTCTCATTCAAACACACAACAATGTCTTTCGTTCTGCATACCAATGTCTAGAGGGTCATCTAGAAGGAGAGGAAAGGGAAGGAAACTATCATTAGGTGGGAGGGTCCTCTTGGTCCCTAATTTATTTGAGGAAGCTCTTTATGATAGGTTCCCGATCGAGAGCAAAAGTGATTTCACCAAAGAGGCTCCACCGAGAGGATCGATGAGCGGAAAGAATAGTGGCCAAAAATGCATGCATGGTGAGGACTATCTAGTGCGAGATGTTCACCGAGGGAATAGATGGAGGCCGACGTTTCTTCAAATGCCCCATGAGCATGGGTAATTGTTATTACTATTTGTTTCTTCAATATGTTCATCTTCTATATAACTTACATGATATACTTATTACGGTCTTCCTTGTCAAGAAGAAAGTTGTGGGTTCACTAGGTGGGTCGATCCTCGACCTATTTATCCGCATCTTGAGTACATCTACTACTACTGAGGGACCATATCTTGATCTAGAAAGAGAAGTTAGCGAGTGGTTACAAGGACAAGCGAGCAGGAAGGCGACAACAATGGTGCCGTTCATAGGAGGCACTCTGCAATAATCCATATTGTACCTACCCTAATCACGGGAACAAGGGTCCTCCGTCGCCACCCCCGTCGCCACCACCACCAACAATAGGAGGATACTTTGGAGAAGGTGCAACACAATTTGATGTGACCACACTACTAGGACAAACCAATCTTTTTAAAGTGCGGCATCCATGTGTTTGTTTTTTGCTTTAATCATCTAAGACATGTTAGCATTAGTTGAAGAAATATGTACCCTTGTTTGGCACATGTTCACACATGCCATTTCATGTGATTGTTGTTTGTTTCAATTATCTAAGGCATGTTAGGTTTAGTCCAGGACCTCAGTACCCTAGTTTGGTACATGTTATCACATGCCATTTCATGTGTTGTGTGTGTTGAATTAGGTAATCCACTACTTGATTACGTTTTATTTGCACTACTTGACCTCGTTTCACTACCTATGCAATATTAAATTCAATATTATGACAACAAATAATGAAACCAACAACACTATGAAAGGTCCAATAATAGAGCACATTAATCAATATAACAACATTTAAAGTACATGGCGACAAACTAAAAAGTGCATTACATGACAACACAATGCAAAGTCCAAGATTAGACAACATTGTTCGTGAATATACCATAGAAATACCAAGTCATGAAGACTATTGAGTGCAACGAGGCCACTTTCCTTCCTCTGGGCATCGGGTTTCTCCTCCATCGGCGCCTTGGCTTTCATGCGCATGCTTGCGCTCAAGCTTCCTCTCTCCCTCTCCTATGTGAAGCAACACGCCTCCTTTCCTCCTCTTCCTTGTGCTCCTTTTCTAGAGCCTCTCTCGCATCTCTTCTCCATCATCACGCTTGTCATCGCCTCCCACCGTGTGCAGTTACGCATCCACTCATTGTCTTGAGACTTGATCTCGATTGTCGATCCACCGCTCAAAATCACGGAGGCGGTGGAGAAGTGCAACAAATGCAATTGTTACAAAACAAATAAATCATGCAAGACTTCATTTGACACAATAAATATTAAACAACATTAATTTCTCACCATCTTGTTAATCTGGTGACGCGAAGTGTAGGCTAAAAGCGTAAAATTGGCACACATCCAATACCTCACGCCTATATGTGTCATCTTCATCGGACTTGGCTACCTTGCAAGGATCGCCCTTAAAAGCACATGGGCGCTGGAACACCACTAGGCGAGAGGCAGCGGATCGAAGGCATTTTCGGTCATCCGCCTTAACTACAATTGAATCAAATTTGCTCGAAGAACCAAAAGCATTGAGCAGTAAACCCTAAACCTAGGGTTTTTTTCTATTTATTGCACATAAATGAAAACATAATATAACACGATGATAAGAGATTACCTTGACTTACTAGCTTTATCACGCCTTTGGCATCCTACCGTTACATAATACAAAAAAATAAAAAATCACTTTGGACATTAGGTAATAACGTATATAGGGTTGCAAAATAGACGTAATATATACCAAATCAATGCGTAAATTTTGATAAGGGGAGAGAGGATACCTCGCTCGCGAAAATGTATGGATCAAATCCAAGTATCCAAGGTCAAATCAAATCGATTCAAGAGATTGGGACGGGGTAAGGAGAGGAAGAAAGAAACGAGAGGGGATGAAGAAATGAAGCGATGTCGGCCAGGGAAAACTTGGTTTGGATTTTAAATCAATGCTTGGCGCCGAATACATGGCGCCGAACTTCAGCGCCAAGATCTGTGGCGTCGAGGTGCCCGACCACGTGAGCGCCACCTAGGATGGCTTTATTGTCCTCGGCCGAACACCTCGGCGCCAAGATGCGTGTAGCACCAAGACATGTTACCTCGGCGCCATGGTTCCTAACGCGCCGACCCCAGGGGTCCAAAGATGAGTTTAAGTCTTCCGAGGTCAAAGCGTATATTTTTTTAAAAAAGGTCAAATTGTAAAAAATTAGGTCGTCCAATCATCTTTTGGTGGGTATTGAATACTATGGAACGGACACAGTGAATTTATACAATTTTATGTGTCTGTACAAGAGCATATCCCATTATTCTTTCGTGCCACAAAACCGGCAACACTGGCCCTGCTTCCTGGGAACATCTACAAAAAATGCTCACCCTCAATACTTGCAGCCTCCACTTGAAGTTTCACGCCCATCAATCATGGAATAAGTAAGATCCATGTCCACTGATGCCACGTTAAGCAGAAATACCCGCAAGAATCATCCCGTTGATTCGTCATGCAACAAGAACAGACGACGGCTTCTTGAAGCTGGAGCTACTTGCTTTATTCGAAGATGTGATCGCCCTATCCTTTGAAACAGGGGCCTAAAACAAATTCTGAAGAATTTGATTGTTGATTGTTTTCGCTCTGGTCTGGTCGAACCCAGATTTTGATGAGGCCCTCACGGCAGATGGTGAGGATTGATTCATTGGTGAACACCAGACCAGATAGGGGATCGACATGTACTGTACTCGGTGGGCAACAAAGGCGAGAGTTTGGGGACATCTCGCGTTCTAGGAGAAGGTTGAAGAACACCTGTTGGAGGACATGCATTGTCCCAGTCGTGGAAGGGCTCCCGCTGCTAAGCGTCGGTGAGGCACTTGAAGGATGCCGTGGCGGGACAACAATCTCATCCAGTGCCAGGTCCCATAGAAGTAGTTGGGTGTCCTACAATCATGTAACAACGAAAATTTACGCCGGCAATAAATCATGTTGCAAGCAAAATGCCAACTTGCAATTTAAAGCTTGTCATGTGGTTATATTTAAGCATATATTAGTATGCTCAAGAAGTTCTAGGCAAATAACTCCATGCCAAACAGGAATACAAGGAAAATAGCCGTCCAATACTTATGTTTACTTACATAAACATAAATTATTTTCAAAAAAAAATCATGAGAAAATAACCTCATCAGTACTGAAAAAAGTAGTAACTCTCTTATCCCTGGTCTCGAAAAAATAAAGCAAATTGATCAGTTCCATCCATTTCAACAGTGGACTGAGAAATCTGCCCACAACTCCATTAATATTAGGTCTCAAAATAAACCAGCAAGACAAAAGAAAATGGAAAGGCCGGTCTTCCAATTTCAGGTGTCATTATTATTTTTATTAACAAAGTATCTTCACCTTCTATAATATAGTTAGGATTAAAGCTTGCAATTCCCATATGTTTTGAACATACATATGTTGTTTAATATTTCAAAACTCAAACTACAGTTCTAGCTATATAAACTAGGCATACCTGACCAACAGAACCAAAGCGATAGACATTTTCTCCATTTCCATCAGAACTTGGTAGGGACCAATATGAATCAAAAGCAACTCCACTAACCTGCCACCAGAAGAAAAATAGCCTCATTCTCAATCAACAAGATTTGACAAAAGACACTAAGAAAATTTAAGGGCAGGCGAAACTATTACCCATGAATTATGTCCTTCACCCCAAGCAACTATCTTTCTATCATCCATGCCCCATACCTGAACAAGATCATCTTCACCACCTGTTAATAGATATTTTCCATCTGAGCTGTAGACAAAACAATAAATAGGTTAGAGGCTGAAATGTTATTTTGTGTGACAAACCCATATGACAGTGATAAAACATTTGCAGATACAAAGATCAGCGACATATTGATGTAGAGATCAAATGAATGGGGCAATGCAACATTACTGAAACACTGAAACTGGGATATTAAACCATGGTGCTGAGCCAAAAAAAAAAGAATTGCATGAACAAACCATGCTACAAAGTGTTGTGAATCACATGACTAAAAAAGACACCTGTTAAGCATGAACAACCAAGGGCAGATGGAAGCCAACCAGTGATCAATAGAAGTTTAGTAGAATAGTAGCAACATATTTTAAGCTTTGAGAATTGAGGCTGATCAGGCAGCCAGCAAACTTAGTTGCCAAGCACAAGCATGAGTCATGACTAGCAAGTACCACAAAACATAAAATACGTGGATAGGAGATAAAGAGCATAACAAGGGAAACACATAGGTGGGTATATTTCCCAAACAAATCAAACTACACAAGCCATTCACATTTACCTCCAAGTGCAACACAACAGTGCACCATAATAACTTCTTCCACCAAATATTAGTTGTTCCTTTGAAAAATCGAAAACTCTCAAATAACCTGCATATTGTTTATCAATGTTAGATGTTAGTTTAAGAAGAAAGAAAATCAGTGGACCCTATGATGAAGTAAAAAAGCATGAGATGCCTAGGGCAAAGCAAGTACCATCTCTCCCAACAGTCGCCAAGTATGTGCCATCAGGTGAAAAGGAAATTGCATTGATCGAACCTTGACATATATGCCATCTAGCGACTGGGTTGCTCTGCAATGTTATTCGTGACATAAATCCCAGTTAATTATGTTGCCACATTTTCAAGGACAAGCACGTTCTATACCTTGATCAAAACTCTTCTAGTCAAATGACAAGCAGGAATATTTACAAGATACACTAACAAGTAAACTCACAGAACCATAAAGTTCTTGTAGCACAATAGATTCTACATCTAGTTGTCAAAACCAATAACACTGCCCAGGTGGAGGTAGTACAAAAGTATAGTGTTCAAGACAGACAGCATGCTACCAGAAATGTTGCTGAATGCTAGGAGCAAAGACTGAAATGCAAGCATAAATCAATTAAGTAAACAATTAACGGTTCTGAAGGACAACTTTTATATTTTAGTTCAGTCACTTAAGCATAGGTACTCTGCACCTGGAATCATTTTAATGGAGTGCTCTCTTAAATACTTGAGATTTGTGTCATTATGTGCAACTTTGACAGGAAAAGTAATACAGTAGTTATCACTGTTTAGTATCTAACATAATGCTGCGTAGAGCTGAAGGGTTGAGCCATTCTCTAATACCAATACCAACAACCAAAAAGAGCACATGTTATAATGTTAACTAATGCTAATGGCTAAAGCATCTTGCTTCACCAAAGTAATGCACTTTAGGAAAGCAGTCACGGAAGAACCTAGAATACCTTACTTGACTTTGCATGTGCAACCATAAACTGGGATTGATCCTTCACAGCTGGAAACGTACAGTCTGTGTTCCCATCCTTGTTCTGAAAACAACAAAAGATAGAACATCAATTCAAAATCAACCAAAGGTCGAGTAAGGTATTTTTGGTAGCATGCTGTCTGTCTTCCCATCCTTGTTTCAAAAAAAAAATCAACCAAAAGACCAAAATAAAGTCTACCAAATTATTATCAAACTCTATAACTAGCAGCTGCTCACTTTATCATACACGTACAAATTTCCATCAGAATGGCTAACAACGAAAATGCCTTCACGCTCTGGTACCCATGCGACAGAAGTGCACCGACTGCAAAACATTAATATCCAAATCTTGATTAGAGAACTAAGTTAAATAAATGGAATAAGATAGGCATCCACATGGACTATAACAAAACAACATTATGCTTATATTGCACCGATATCAAGCTTTAGATAGCTTGGGTGCCACTGAAAGAAGTTCCAGAGAAGCCAGTTAAGAAAACTATCCCTTTAATTTCACTAGCAAACAAGTTTAAGGATTCAAAGGCATGCAAGCAGCTGCTTTTTGTCACAAGATGATGAGCGTGCAAAGAATTAAATTATCAAACTTCAAAATAAGATTGCTTCAGGCAACAAAAGCAAGTTTGGGCTTGAAAGTGCTCCTTGAAAGCACAGTCGAGGAATATATATATAGACATAGAACCCATAGCTTTACCACAATGCTGTGAAGGACAAGAAGAACTGGCTCCACTAAGATTAGATTCATAGCATTGCTTTAGTACACATTTATGTTAGAACTCTAGAGTAGAAAGCTAAAAAAAACTGAGAATCATGGTGGATGCAGGTAACTTTGCTAGCTACTAAACTTAGACTCATATCTGAATTCTGAATTGCTGAACTTAAAACCAAATAAGAATAATGGGTTCATGTATACATATTAACAGACATTCACCTATGCTAACCTTGATCATGTCTGAATCTGATATGTTAAATCACAGAACAGTAATATAAAAAACATGTAATCTAAAATATTTATGAACAATGTCGATAAATTCAAAAGATCATATGTATCAGGTATTTCATTCAAATTAATAATGAAAATTCAATCATACCTTCCATTGGGTGAGACATCTTTATCACCCTTATTGTAATGTAGAGCTGCCACAGGTTTTCTTCCAGGATCTTGTAACTGTTGCCTCAGCGACATTGAATAGACTGCACAACAGCCCATAAAAGAAACGAAAATGAATGTCTCAGACTTATGCACAGTCCAGTTTGAAGCATAATGGGGCTCAACTAATCATCTCCACTAACCATCCCCTGATCCCATCCCAATGATCAGGTCATGCCCCTCTTTGGCCTCTGGGTGAATGCATGGCACAGTGGGTTTGAGTTGCTGAAATGGATGGACTTTAGTGGATCCTAGTGCAAGTAAACAGATGATCAGAAAAGAGCAAGACACCAAAAACTGTGTGTAGCTTGCATCCAGTAAAACGACTGAATACCTTCTCCTGAGAATTGAGATCACTGATGAATAGTGTATCAGCAGTATTGAATACAATATATATACCCTTTCCATCATAATTTGTGGCCCCTCAGATCCACCAAGGCCTGTAGATGTACCAAGGCCTCCTCCTCCTCCTATCGGCTGCTTCCAGCAACAGCCCGTTCAGCGCCATTACCGCCGCCAAAGCTAAGTGCCTTGCTTCCGTTCCCAGTGCCCAGCAGCCTTGCTGCCGCAGAGACCGCATCCCACTGCTGGAGCTTGGTGTCGATGGCTGGGAGCCCTGGCTAGCAGGCTTCTCCTTGAGGTATGCCACTGTCAACTGTGATAAAAAATGCAAAGCAATGGCCATGGTAAATCATTTCCCAATCAGAACATAAACTTATTATCAAACTGTAGAAGTCCAAAGCGTATGGCAGAATAGAGAAATAAACCAACAAAGGTCTTCACTAACATAAAGCTTCCATTTATTTACAGTGAAACCAAACAGAACCACAACTTCACTGATGAAGCGTCCAACGAACCAACAGCTAAACTAAACCGTCCAAAATGCCTAAGATAACTCTATTCTGTAGTACCAAGTACATAATTCTACAATCACTGCCGTAAATTTGCCTCAAACGGATGCTGCATCCCAATTAAAATCCTATTAGCAGTGATGAAAAGCCTACCAAAAGCATCCATCCACCGCAGCAGCCCGCGTAGATCCCCTAGCAGAAGCACACTTCCCACCCGTACCTGCGAGACGGTCTTGCCGCCGTGGCTGTAGTGCAGCACCGCGGAGTGCGTCTTCTCGTACTGCAGCTTGTACCTCCCCTCGGGCGCGTCTTGAAGTAAGTCTTGAGCCCCGCCGCGGCGCCGCCGCCCCAGCCCCGCGCCCGCCCCGCGCCCGCGCCCGGCCCGACCCCAGGCGCCCCGCCATGCCAGGCGCCACCGCTGCCCGCCCTTACTCTCTCTCTCCCCGCAATCAATTCCCAGCCGCAACCCTACCGCCGCTAAATCCGCCGGCTCGGCCCTGGTCCACGGGGACTAGGTGAGCGCGGGTAAGGCTTCCTGATGGCGGAGACGGATCTAGGCGGCGGCGGCGGTGAAGTGGAGGGGGCGAAGAGCGGTGGCTGCTGGCTGGCCCGATTTGGGAGAAGACAGACCGAGAGGCCGAGACGACGAGGAACAACTGCTTTGGTGTACTAGTTTGGAGGCGGAAAAATAATTAAAAAAGCGATGTTGGTGTTTATTTTGCGCTATAAATAAAATTAAATGGCAGCAGAAAAGAAAAGGCGGAGCCCACCAGTCAGCAAGATTGCCGCCCGCGGCGCGAAGGGGCGTTCCGTGACGCCACCGAGACTCATCGGGCCTGTTTGTTCCTGTCTCCATTGAAGCCCGGCTATGATTAAAATCTAGTAGGTGGGCTTGGCCTGCTTTATCAAGCCAACGTGCACTTATTTGATTGCATAGACTATTTAAGCCTGGTTTAGAATTAGTGTGTTTGGTTCTCTGACTTGGCTTGGATAGAATCGCCTTATCTACTTCCTGGTAACTTCACCCTCTATAGCACATTCTATCAAGTTTGAATTTAGTTTTTTTTTTGTTTTTCCTGTTTTCAAAACTTAGAATCTTTGAAAGCAACAAGTTTTTTATGTTGGGCCTTTAATTAATGTTAGAGATCTCAGATCGATAAACAACTTTGCTTAAAGACGATCATCAAGTTGTTTTGCAAAATCGAGAGAACGAGAGAGAGGAAGATGTGCTGTCAGTCGCTATAGTAGCACCTTTTGCTTCACCGTCGGCAATCTCCACGCGCCAGAGAAATTCGTCGTCGCAACGCCACCTCCGTCCGATTCCTCTTGCATGCAGCTTCGCCTCACCCTTTACGCACCACCCTGGCCTGCTCGCATCGCCTATAGCCGCCGTAATCGTCCCCGGTGCCGGTTGCCGCCATGGCCGCCGTCGATAGTAGCACGGCAATGGACGCCCTCCTCGCCGTGGCCGCCACAAGCAGGCGCCCAAGGCCCCCGCGACCCCTCCCCCGGCGATGCCGCTCCTAACACCGGCACCGATCACCGACTCTGGCCTCCAGGATCTGCGAGATCCATGGGCAAGGTTGCCGAGGGTGGCGCGACCATGCGCGGGACCACCGGGGGCAGCGCGGACGTGCATGGTGTCGGTGCGGGACCCACAGGATACCCCGCAAGGAAGAGAGAAGATCTAGTCTAACTAGGATTCTCCCCATGTAATCTCAGTAGTAGTATTTTATAATCCTACTAGGAACTTTCATTGTAAACCGACTAGGAATCTGACCTCCTGACTATATAAAGAAGGGCAGGGTTCCTAGAGAGAGAAAAAGGACACTAGACAATCAATCCAACGCAAAGGCTAACGCCGATGGGACGTAGGGCTATTACTCGACCACAGTCGAGGGCCTGAACCAGGATAAATCGACTGTCTCTTGCGTTCACCGTCGAGTTCCGCATACGCTGAAGCCCGAACAATACTGCCCTGGGGACCCCCGTGGCAGGCTATCGGTGGTAAAACATCGACAGCTGGCGCGCCAGGTAGGGGATTTCGGCGAATTTGCATCCGAGAGCTCGATGGACCTCAACAACATGATCTTCTCAACGGGATCAACTTTCATCTTCGGCTCATGGATCTGCGAGGCGGACAACAATGGCAAGCTCCAAAGTTGTCTCCTCAAGATTGAAACACCATGAAGACTATTCTATTAAGCGACTACGACGGACCAAATCTCCGGAGGATTCGCGCGACTTATAATGTCCGATTCAACTGTGTTACTGCTTACTGATCCGAGGCGAATTCGAGCTCCGCATCCGAGTTGGAGTCTTATTCGAGTCCTTTCGGGAAACCGAGTTCTTTTCCGATGGGACTTAAAAACGCGGCCCTGACCTATCAAGAATACAACTCGGAGTACGTGTAGAATCTTTTCAAGAAGTCGGATCTTCCTCCACTCGAACTCCTCAACATGGCAACATCTTATCAGGCATGGCTTAGAGAAGTCCTTGATCCAGTACTAAGAATGTCACTGAAGGGAGCTCAGGAAGGTCTCGTCCTGACTATAACATCTCAAGACTACATCATTCACTGGCTGGACTCTATTCCTGAGGATAACAGTACCCGACTGGACAACGTGACGACGACGGTTATTCTACCTTACCAAGAAGGAGACTCGATATGTGACCTCGAGGCATCTACTAAAGTCATCAGCAACCCCGACAGTATGGAAACTAACGCTAATAACAGAACGGATCACGCACGGGAAGTACTCATGGTTCGACGTCCTCGGTCACCGTTAAATCCCCCAGAAGCACCCGATGTTAGGTCATCAGATGAATCAGAATCCAACATATCACCCTTTGCCCAGGGCTACGATGGAGAAACCGAGAGTCAGAGACAAGCTAGAGAAAGAAAAAACAAGTTGAAGCAAGGGCGCCAACACCGTACTAGGCAGTGCAGGGAAGCCTAGATCAGATACGAGTCAGAGTTGGCCGAATACGACAGAAGAAAATCACAACGAGAAGTCAAAGGAAGACGCACGACAAATACGCCTTACGATAAGATTCGAGAAGCATTAGAAGAACTCAGAGCAACCTCACATCCCGGTGAGAAGTATGAATAGCTCCAGGACTTGCTCCGATCGATGATCCCGAGAACACATGAAGAGAGAGCACTCGACAGATCAACAACCCACAGGCAAGAAGATCAAAATCAAAGGAAGTCCGCTTTCGAAAGACTTGGGCCAGTGGAAACCATAACGGAGAAAGTAGGAAGGATCAAAGTCAAGGCCACCGAATTGAACAACCAAGAAAGACCAGGAGTAGGGCGCCTGCCCAGATGGCCTCGCAAAATTATTCCCATCAAAACAATGGTTGGCCAGAAGGAGGTACCAAATCAGAATTCAGAGAAGCCGGAACACATGACAGATTTCCTTGTTTTGCGAACAGGCTTGCATCAATACGATTACCTCACAAGTTCAAACCATCCAACCACTCTAAGTATGATGGCAAAACTAAACCAAGGCAATGGCTCAGAATATATTCACAATCAATTGAACTAGCCGGAGGAGACGACGATATCAAGACCCTGTTCTTTCCCATGGCCCTGGAAGCCATGCCCCTCCAATGGTTCGACAAATTAAATCCAAGATCAATCAGAAATTGGGAGGACTTGCAAAGAGCTTTTTGTGAAAATTTCGCAGGAATCATTACACATCCAATCACTCATGTAGAACTGAAAGGACTCAAGCAGAAGGGAGGCGAAAGTCTTAGAGATTACTATCGACGATTCGGCGAACTACGGGCTCAAGTGCATGACATCACCGAACGAGAAGTAATTGAAGCTTTCTCTCACGGAATCATGGCTAGGTGGCAATTTCAAGACTTCTATAAAAAAAATCCGAGAAACAATGAAGAATTCAGACGAACAGTAGAAAAGATGATTACTGCAGAAGAAAAAACACGAGAGAGGTTCCCGGATAGAAGCAACCAGGACAACCCGAACAAGCAAAATCATTGAAATAGCAGACATCAAGAAAGAAAACGTAGACCAGACAATACCGTGGCAATGGCTGACAAATCAAAGAAGTTTTCCAAACCCAGAAGATATGATGACATTGAAAAAATACGTTGCCCATTGCACCCTAATGGGAGGCACACCATCGGAAATTGCTACACCTTCAATGATCGATACACAAGAAAAGATAGCAAGGAGAACACCAAAGAGGACAATCAGAAAAAAGATGAAGACAACCACAAAGACAAAGGATTCCAAAACCTAGGGAGCGGGTAGCAATAATCTTCTCGGGGCTCCAGTTGTAGAAGCAAACATCAAGAAAAACTAGCACTCACGGACTATCATGACGGCGCAGAACCGGCTACTCCAAGATATCTCAATTGGTCACAAGATTCAATCCAATTTACCGAGAAGACCAATGGACTAGAGTAGGAAAGCGCAGCCATTATCCACTCGGTTCTAGATTCAACTATTCTTTGGTATGATCTGTCACCAAAGTACTAATCGACGGGGAGCCGGGCTCAACATCATCTTTTTAGAAACGCTAAGGAAGATGGGACTACAACTCATGGGATGATTACACCAACAAGTACACCTTTTTACGACATAGTACGGCAAGGCAGCCATGCCACTTGGACAAATTACTTTACCGTTACTTTTGGAACTCCTTGAACTACCGAACGAGTTCATCAAATTTGAGGTTGAGACTTGATTCGTCAGATCATGCAATCCTCGGACGCCCAAACACTAGCAAAATTCATGGCAATACCACATTATCCGTACTTATCGCTTAAGATGTCAGGACCCAACGGTGTCCTTTCTATTCGAAGTGATTTGAAGCGTGCTTTTGACTGTGACGTTCAGGCAATCCAAATCGCAGCCAAAGCACAAGCCGAAAATGGAAGAAAAGAAATAGCCACAATTGCTGTAGAGATAAGCCAAGAAGAACTAGAAATACCGGCTAAAAAGCCTAGTATTATCGCACCACCAAAAGAAGCCGACGTCAAGCAAATCGACCTGGGCACTGGCGATACCTGCAAGACAGCAATCATCAGTGCTCACCTCTCGGCAAAATAGGAACTCGCGCTCACCAACTTTCTTCGGGACAACAAAGATATCTTCGCTTGGAAGCCGGCCGACATGCCAGGTGTCCCAAGAGAGTTGGCTGAGCACAGAATTGATATTAATGAAAGCTCCAAGCCTGTAAAGCAACGGCTACGACGATTCTCACCTGACAAGAAGGCAGCAATTAAAAAAGAAATCACAAAGCTAATGGCGGCCGGATTCATTAGAGAAATCCTTCATCCAGATTGGCTAGCAAACCCAGTTCTAATACAGAAAAAGAATATGGAAGAATAGCGCATGTGTGTTGACTACACAGATCTCAACAAGCACTGC